CCTGAAATTCAACATTTAGGGGGATAATCAAAAATTTGCAGAATGTCAAAATATTGTTGATTACCTCAAGAAGTCGAAGGGTCACTACATGAGGCCTTAAGCTAAAATAGTCGGTGACATTCTGTGGGTCATAGATTTCAGGTAGTGGCTTCGTCCACATCTTGGCAAGATAGTATAAGTAGCTAGCATACACCTCCAAGGCTTTGAGATCAGCCAAAAACAAATCAATGCCAGATAGTGCTGTCAAAAGAAGAGAAAAGAAAACAGGTCCGGTTCAGATATCGGTTTGTTGAAGATAAGATATAAATCATATACATGTAGCCTCTCAAATAGTCTAATCTTTTAAATCAAGTGGTTCAACAAGGTACTAGAGCAAGTAAATGGCCTTACCTCCACCTATTTGACAAAATTGTGAACGCGTTAGGCTTTGTAGGGAAGAAATGAATCCCACATACACGTGAGGGGGCGTGCTGAAAATAAGATTTAGCCCAATGTTTGGTTTAGATAAAAAAAAATTAGTTTTTTAGTAGATTTTAATAAAAGTTCATGGAATATGTGGTTGAAAAGTTGTGGATCCCATTAAATGTGTGGTTAAAATTAATTGTTGACTTTAACTTTGATTTTAATCAACTTTTTAAGCTGAACCAAATATGGACTTAAATGATACACCCACATTAGCCCTCTCTAATAGCTTATGCTTCTAGATCAAGTGATCTAACAAAATTGACTGTAGAAGAAGGCATATTCTACATGATCCTTTAGTCCCTGTTTGTCTACCATTATTCCAAAAAATTGTTTGCTACAGTAAGATTCTCCACCACACATTCACCCAATAAAATATTCTACACACAAACTAATAAAATCCCTTTAAATTTCAACCACACATTCTCCAAAACACATTATTCATTACTCTATTTTTCTCCCAATAATGGAAGACAAACACACCCTTAATGTATGCTTCCCGTCTCTATAGTGGGTAAATTGTTTTTATTACTTTAGTGGGAGGCCAAGTCTAGCTCCTCTTAAGATTGTGTTTTTAACTTTTCGATTTTGTATTAGAAAGTAAAAAAGAAAGGAACAAGTGGGAAGGACTACGTAAAGATATAACACTGAGGGCTGTACTTCTGTGAATTTCTTGGACTTTTATAGATTTGTATGAAATTAATGAAAGTCTTTCATACACTTGTATAGACTTTTATTTTAGAATTTTAATTTTTATAAACTTTTGTCTAATTCAAAAGACTAAAGATTTTTATTTAAAATAGAATTCACGTGAGTTTAAAACAACAATTGAAAATTCTCATGTACGAGGTGGTTGTTTCCACAACTCCCTTTAACCTTCTCATATAATAAAAATATTTCTAAAGGAACAAAAATTTAAATTTTTTTAATTCTCAATCTTTTTTTTAATATAACATGTTTGGTCGTCCTATCAGCTTTGATTTTCCTATTAGACCATCGTGGTTGTGTAACAATTAAGGGGTAATGTGAATTCAGGAGCTCTTTTATCTATTCGTGGAAGAGTTTCTTGACTCGCTTGAGGATTGTATGCAAGTCTAAAATCGTCATATGGTGTAATTGTATTTGCTTAATTGTTCATTTCTAATTTGATTTTCACAAATTGTAAGTTTTGATCTAGTTTGTTGACATTGCGAATGATGTATCGTGTTATACCCTTTTCACAAATTATTGCTCTAATGACAGACAGAGAAATGGCATCACGGTGTCTATGTGGTAGAAATGGCATCACGAAGAAATGGAATATGCTAAGCATAAGAAAAAGAACAATGGGGGACCCTGTACTGTAACTCATTTTCTCCACTAAACGGACCCCTTGGCACAAACGTGCGTCAGTTAAAGAGTAAGGAGTTCCTCTCTTCTCGCTCATCCCTTCAAATTCCTCTAAATTTAAACTACTAATTATAAAAAAGAAAACCCTTCTCTCTTTTTTCTTTTATTTTTTTCTCCAAGTGAATTCAAGTCATTTTATTAATTTTCAGGTACCCTCGATGCCGATCTTATTTTTATTCGAAGAATTTTAATTTTATATTTTTATGCGTTCGTAACGTGAAGTAAAAGCATGGAATTTAGATCGGTTCGGTTTCTATTCTTGAACACTTGTTTTTACTTCCATAGTTTATGTTTCGTGGGTTTTTGAGGATGAAAATTGCAAGTTCTTCTGTTGATTGTTATTGGAAAAATCTATTGCTTGAATTATGCCATAGTGGAAGTACTCAGGTTTTTTTTTTTGGATGGTGCAGAAAAATCTATTGCTTGAATTATGCTACATTATGTTCGTATGCACATTATGTGAGATTATGTGAGATTGGTTGCATAATTGGAATTTGGTAAAATGCCAAGTGCAATTTTTGCTCTGGTAGTGAAATTTGGAAAAATGCTAAGTGCAATTTTTGCTCTGTGAGTGCATAGATACGGGCTGTTGATGATGATTAAGTGTGCTTGATCAATTGTCGGGTTGCCACTTGTGAAACTGCGAGCACGTAAGCGGACATATCTGCAAGGCAATGTCCTTTTGCTGTAAAGTTTATATCTAAGAACTTCACTTATAAAAGAACACACAAAGATATAGAAAAGTTTCTTTTCTTTTCTTCCTTCCTCTATACACCCACAGAGCTTTAAAATCTTAATTGCATTGAGAATCATGGTATAGAACACTACTTTAATCTCATCAATTAAATTTTGGAGAGTTATTACAAATTTTTAATCACTGACATTTGCCATGTAGAGAGAATTGCATTTTTGAAATCGCTGGAGTATGACTGTGGCTCTTTAATATTAGATTAAAATATCTTATTGGAATATCTATATGTGTTGGGTATTGACACTTTGTTGTCAATCGAATTAAATATTGTAATTGTGGTTTCTAAATGTAAGTCTAGTTTGATTGAAAGCCAACTAAGACATGTGATTAAAATATTAGGCAAGTTGTCCTTAAATTAAGGGGAGTAGCAAGTGGGCTGTCATGTATGACTTAGTGTAGTAAGTAGTATGGTAACCAGACCTAGCTATACAATGAACTGTTGTATCCATTGTTGGGTATTGACACTTTGTTGTCAATCAAATTAAATGTTGTAATTGTTGTTTCTAAATGTAAGTCTAGTTTGGTTGAAAGCCAATTAAGACATGTCATGAAAATGTATAAATATTAGGCAAGTTGTCCTTAAATTAAGGGGAGTGGCGTGTGTGTTGGTAGTAGGTTAGCTACCGTATCTTTCTAAATATATATATAGCTCCTTTTGTGGGACTTAAGACACACCAAGATATACACCAACAATATATGGAAAGAAAGGCTTTCAAGATGTGAGAACCAGCAGAGTGATGAATGTTTTTTTTATTTAAGTTTTACTTGTTTTATGTTATGTTTTAATGATGTTCATAACTTCCATCTTCCCCACACAAAACCACATTTTTATTGCGTTGTTAAACTCTATTTTGTTGAGCAATTGATTAGCTCATGCATCTCCCTCGATCTGACTTGTTCTTCACCATGAAGATGGTGATCCTGTAGAAGGATGAACCTCTCATTTCTTCACACCATNACAAATGAAGATCTTTTGATCTTTCGTAATTTTCCAACAAAATGCACATTTAAAAGAGAATTGTGCGTTGTTATTATGTTGTTGCTTAATTGGCGTTTTAGGATATTTCGTTTCCCAGTACCCAAATGGCTGTAGAATTTCACATAACATTCAAGGTACAATTATATAAATGTTACTATAGTACAGACTTCTTTTAGTTTAAATAGGTATTTCCTCCCTTGACAGCTTTAGAACCGGCATCATATATTTGTTACAAGAAAATATTCGCATAGGTTTTGAAATTATTACAGCATAGATGGTAATTTGGTAAGCATATTCATATTCTTTTCCTTGCTGTGCAATAACTCTGACAAGAAAAATATAGTGTAGTTCAAGAAACTGGAGGAGTCAATGGTGGTTGTTTATGTCTAATCGTCATATGATGGAGGTGTGGATTTCTTGAATTTGCCCTTTTCCCATCTATACATTTTGTCCTAATTCAGTCATTCAGATGCTATTTCTTCTTCTTAATCCCATCTCATGTTCGGAGTTGATAGGTTAAGTTACTTTGAAGGTTTGTACTAATAAATTATCAATAGGTTTATCATTAATTTTCATGCAGCACTCCAATCTCAAAAGAAAATTTAAGATATTATTTTTTCAGTAAGTATTAAGAGAAATAAAACAGGCTGCTATTTCATTAATTTCATCTTGGTTTTTGCTGTTTCTTATGTTGAGGAAGTCCTCAGAGTAATAAAACGAAGGCCTACCGTGTTAAACAATTTAACGTCTAGTCACGAATTTCACGCAATACGGATGCGGTACTACTTCAATGGGTTTTTTAGTTTGTGTTGTATTGATATGAATATGTGAAAGATTTAATGCTTTCCACACAAAATATTGGTTCTAGAGCACTTATTTGATTGTTTATGCCAAAAAGAAAAGCATAGTAATTGGGATGAATGCTTGGAATGGTGTTATCGATTTTATTACATGCATAACAATTAGCTACAAGAAGATGCTTGTAGGATCAAAAACATGTGAAAGGTAGTCTCCCATTTTTTTGTCTATATGGGAAATGTAATAATGAGATTATGAGGAGGCTCAGAGAAAGAGGAGGGTGAGAATAATAAGGATGGAAAACAAAAGGAGAAATAGAATGGCGAGATTAAGTGATGATAATTCAGAGGAATGTTGGTAAAATTTTCATTTAGTATTCAATTCACTGCCTAATCGAAGATGCACCTTTTATAATTAGGCTGCTGAATAGAAAATAATTGGGGATAAAATAACAACTCAACAAAATTGACTTTATCAGAAGTTTCCTGTGAAAATTGCAATCGATACATTCACTGACCTTTCATAAACTAACCTTTTCTTCTGTTTTTCCTTTTCTTTTTGTGGGTGTGGTGGTGTAGGGTTTTCTTTTCTTTATTTTTTTAATTCAGGATTAACTTAAAGATGGCAAAATCCAACAAGCAGCAGCAAAAATCTGATTCTCGAAAGCACGAGGTTTCCTTTCGGTGTACAAGGCCATGTGAAGATGCCCACCATGGTAAAAGCTGTTTAAAAGCAACGGAGAAGAAAGACTGGGAAGATGTGGTTTGCTCGGTGTGCATGGAGTTTCCTCACAATGCTGTCCTCCTGCTTTGTTCCTCTTATGGCAAGGGTTGCCGTCCTTATATGTGTGCTACTAGTCCTAGGTATTCCAATTGTCTTGAACAGTATCGAAAGGCCTACGCTAAGACTGCTCCAACCCAGAGTGCACAATCATGGCAACGGTCAACAGACTATCCAGATTTATCGGCAACATCAGGTTGGCCTGATAGATCTGAGCTCTTGTGCCCACTTTGCCGTGGGCAGGTGAAAGGTTGGACAGTGGTGGAACCTGCTCGAAAGTTCCTTAATGAAAAGAATCGAAGTTGCATGCAGAATAATTGCTCATTCGTTGGAACCTATAAAGAGCTTAGGAAGCATGTGAAGTTGGAGCATCCTCTGGCGCGCCCTCGAGAAATGGATCCTTCACATGTGGAAAAATGGAAAAAACTGGAAAATGAGCAAGATATAAGTGATGTGTTTAGCACAATTAGATCTACCATGCCTGGTGCTATTGTAGTAGGGGATTATGTTATAGAGAATAACTATCGTGGCTTTTCTCGGGGTTATGATGTTGATGATTATATAAATGATGCAATTTTCAGGATGGACTCATATGGTGGACGCTGGAATAGCCCTCGATTCACTTCTGATTTTTTCCTGGATGATTATGATTCACTGGACGGGGAAGATTTTGGCATGCAGCAAGCTGGTACATCTGTTTCATCTAGACGTATAGGAAATAATGTCTCCCGGTTGGCGCAGCCCCGTGCAAGATTGTTGGTTGGAAGGCGGCCTCCCCGGCTCAGACTAGGCAGGTAACAGCATTGGTGATTTCATGTCTCTGATGAGAAGGTTTACATTTTGAATCCCCCATCAGAGGTTTATACTATGCCTCATCTTGTTGAACATATTATTGAAGATTATTAATTATCTTCTCTCTAGGTGCCAAATATTTATTTTTTTGCATCAGGTGGGTCGACTCAAATATTTCAATATTCGAAATTACTCATTATAATTAGTTGGTTTCACATAATTACTGGAACCAAATTCAAACTTGAATAGTTGGTTCTGGTTTGAATTAAGCTCCGTTGTAACTTTTTATTATACTAATGTAGATCGTGCGTTGCACGATAACCGTTATAATTTTTGTAATTCCACAATTGAAGAATGGCAAAAATAACATCGAATTGTTTCAAGCAATGAATAATAACCGTTATAATTTTTGTAATTCTAGAATTGAACAATATTAAAAATAACATTAAATATTCAGACACCTTTAAATTACACCAACTGAAATGTCAATAACTAAAAAAGGAAGAAAATGAAAATTATATGCATTAGAGCTTACTTACATACTCTGTTGTTATGTATTAGCTGCAACAGTTTTAACTTGTCAATATTTTCTAGAGCATGTGTTTAAATATGATATTTGATAAAGTTATGAGATTTTAGCGAAGTCGTAAAATATAGAGGTTGCTGTAGAATTATTTGATGGCTTGAAGTTGTATATGATAAATGCTGGGAAAAAAAAGATTGTCTCCGTGTTGCACGGCGTCTCCATCAGCAGCAGTATTACACATGCACACGTACCAAATCAATATCTTACAACAATTTAGGATGAGTTGATCCCACATAGAAAAGGACCAAGTCTTACTGGTTTGAGTAAAATATACCAATTGTGATGCTTAAATAGACAGTCACAACAATGAAGTTATACCTACCTCAACCTTTTCTCCTAAATTATATTGATGACAGAGTTGAATCTTGTAAAATCAAGATTACAGACGTCTGAATTACAGGAAGAAAAAAATTGCTTAGGATTAGAGTAACAAAGGAAATACCCCCTTCAAAATGAGCCCTCCCTTCACACAAGTTATTTAAACACAATCATGCTTACTCTTGGTAGCAATAATCGAAAATAGAATAGCTAAACATTCAAAATCTAACAATCTATATTCTGCTCAATCAAAAGGTATTCGTTTTTCAATTTCTTATTACTTTTCGATTCTGAGAGAGTCTCCACTTGAAAATATAACATTAGTGGAGACCTAAATCAGAATAAAAACATGCAAATGAATCAAAAATCATAGCTATTTTATTAATAAGTTGCAATATTGATGAACAATTAAAACCTCTACAGACGAAGCCAGACTATATAATCATAATATAGAAAGTCATTTGAGTAAGGAAATTTTACCTCGTACTTAGTTTCATTCAGCGATATTGGAAACTGCCTAGAAATAAATGCTTAAAATTTCAATGTATGCATAAAACATATAAAGAAAAAAAACGATGACATGCACAAATTATCAAATCAAGTAGTTGCATTGTCCTGACTAAAACTAAGTTAATAAAATCAAACTCAACCTACATTTCTACATATAGAAACAACCAATCTATTGATTGATTTGTTTTTAAAAGATGTCATTCTGCAAAATAAGAAAATCCAGCAAATGATCAAGATCCATAAAATGAAATTTAAATTAATAGTGAAATACAGTTATTCCATAAAAGTCAAAATGCAACATGGAATCAAACAATATAAGCAATTGGTGTATCAAAAATTTCCATGCATTGCACGTTGTAGAGTCATATTTTAATATAAGTATGTTTTAAATCAACTTTTATATGAAAGAGTAACTGAAACTTTAAAAATTAAAAAAATTAAAGAAGCAAGCAGACTCTCCTTTCCTAAATGCATTTTAAATAAATATTATTTACTAATTTGTATCTAATACTAATTAAATTTGATGTAACTGTATTCTTCTCCAAGAGTACAGCAATGATTAAAAACTTATTGACATAATGATGCAGGATTCCATCATAATTATTTGGTGCAAATTTTTGTACAATCAAAAACCCATATGAAGAAAGAACCGAGAAATCAAAATTTAAAAATTATCTACTCATCTAAACAGGAAGATAAAACACCAGGTGGGCAAGGAAGTTTTGATTTTTATCATGAGTTTCCTGTAGTTACCACCAGAAGTTATGTGAGCATCAATGCTTTCTCTAAAATCTTCAATAATCATAACAGGTATAGGTGATGTGGTACCCTACCCATGCCATGCTTTGAGACTTCTTCGCCGGTCACACTGTGGGAAGGGAAGGAAAAATGGTTAGAAAAGTTGCTTTTGGCCTCAAAGTTGGCCTACTACATATATGGCCTGGAGGTGAATCAGAGAGCATTAGGGGGTCTGAGGAGCTAGAGATCATCTAATTAAAGGCCCTGAAAGTGCTCTAAAGAGATCTCTAATGGAGAGTTAACTCATAGAAGTGTGTTCCAACTGAAGAGGTTTCCTCAACATCTTGGGAAAGATAAATCTCAGCACAAATTCACAAATTGATAAGCTACATATTTCATATTAACAACCGAGAAAGTAAAGCATAAATCCTGCAACACAATTCATTTCATCCAAATACTATAGTACCAAAACTTATAAATCTCGACAATCGCTTCACCTTACTGTCGTGATTACTTCATCAGTAAAAAAAATGAGATCTTCATCCATAAATTCCACTAACTCGGAAATAGAATTGTACACACTGAAAAAGTAAGAAAAAAATTAAACTTCAGGCAAAAGAACTTAGTACAAAGTAAAAGAAAGCAATGTAACATCTAATTTCTCAAAGTTTGTTTCTAAGATTCTTAGTTATCCTTGTGCAATGCCTATATTCTATCACAAGACCTACGTTTGGTTTCCAATCAATGTCCCCACCAACTCAATAAATGAAGAGGGTGTTTAGTGGGGGAATGGAGAGATTTCTCCATTCTGCATGGAGAGATTTCCATTCATCATCGGGTTGAGAAGATAATTCACATTTAGGACAAAGAATTACCACCCTGACACAATCCTTTGAAGAGGTCTGACCATGAGTGATCATTTAGCAGAGGAATCAGAAAATGATTCTTATAAAAGAATTAAAGTGCCTTTTCAATACCTTGAGTTTCACTAGTATTGGACAAACAAAAGTAAAGGTTTTGCCAGAAGCAGTTGGTGCACATGCAAAACACTCCCTTCCCTGAAATATTTGTAAATGATCACTGGAATTGACATATCCATTCAGTGGTGCAAAAAGACAATACATAAAAATGAAAAAAGGAATATAAGAAAGTATAACCCAAATGAAAGATCATATAGATAATAAGACTGGAATAGCCTGCCTCTGGATGGGTCTTGGTTCTTTAATCCCAATTCAGCCAAATTGCACAATAAATATGATCTGCAGCTATATCTGTTCAGGACCAAACATTTGAAATTTTAGTCCTGACCATCATATTAACATTTGCAGAACTACTGAGACCAACAAATAAGACTAACATGTATGATTTAATAGATATGAAGAAAAAAACAATTAGCTTTTGCAGTGACGATTTAAAGAAGAAAAATTTAATATGCTCATCATTTGGGACAACTTCATCAGTTTTAAATTGATTATTTTCATAGTCATATGATACACCCACTTCCTGTTCTGTTGCACTAAATCCAGGTCTCGAAGATACACTATAACTACAACCATCTACAATAAAATGAGTTACCAAATTGCGTTTCAAGAATGAGTTGTCAAAATAGCTTCTGAAGTAAATTCATTTTAACATAACCAACTAAACTACTAAAACCTACAAACTTACCCCTTTCAAGTTCAAAATCATCCCCATTTCCAACATTGTCCGTGGAACCTAAACATTTAGCACCGATTAACTGGGGTCCACTGCACTCTTGAGATGGACATATCTTTTTATAATAGATAAAAAAAAGCAAAAAGAAAGAATAATATCTCCAATAGAACATGCTCACCTATTAACATTGCAACACATCTAGATTTCCTCTTTCTCATTTCATATGCTGCAATTCACATCAGATCATTAACAAAACAAAAATTAATAAAGCCAGAGACAAAATCTTTATAGAAGCTACTGAAGACAAAAGTATGATATCCTTGTATAAAAGAAAACCAGCATCTTCTTCCCCTCTTTTAAAATACAGGGGATCAAGGGACGAAAAATAGAGAATCTCATAGTAGTCATAGCACAGTATCTTCAGTTGTTTAACTATAAATATACAAACACAAATAATTTTAATTTTTCAAAAGGGAGGAGCAAGTTCCGTAGGCAAGAATTGTGAAGTCACTTCTCCCACCTTTCATCAAAGTCAAAGCATTAGCTCTCATGATACCTTTATTGAAAAATCTATTTCTCCACAATTTTTTCTTGCTGGAAAAATCTTATTGCAATTTCTTTACAATTCTTCATTTAAGAAATTTTTTAAATGGATTATAAAAAAGAGACAATTTTAGCAAGGCAATTTCAAGAAACAATACTAAAAATGACTATAATTTTATAAAAAAAATGAGCAAACACAAGAAATTGACAAATCTACACAGTTAAATACCAATAACCTGTACCAAATAATTGATAAACTAACATATACTCCACATCGATTAAAGGAAAGCAGAAAGAGCCACTGAAAAAAGAAGTAAAAAGGCCAAGTGTTAGATTTTTCGTAGTGCACTCCACCTTCAAGACTTTGTCGAGCCCACGAATAATTTTGACCCCATCAAGGTTTTCTGCTAACAGGCAGTGAAATTGAAACTTCAGTCCAATTTGTAGTAAATGATAAATATAAGCCAGTGGAAAAAATGTGAAACTCAGTTGATGTCTCCCTCAAAGAATTTTAATTATTTCAGCCTTCAATCAAATTCAAGAAATGCATACAACTATCGAAATTATGTAGCTACACAGTGTCAGAATTGTAACAAAGAGTCCGGATAGATAATAGACCAATAAAATCACATTCAAAAGACATAATTAAGCTAACAGTTTCTAAAATCAAGAATTAGCAGGATGTATCTTTGTCATCAAATGTATGCTGAAATTTAATGTAAAAGTTTATGAAATGGTTTCTATTATAATTCCTAGCGTGTGCATGGGTTAAAAGAGAACACCAATGTTATGTTGTGGTGCTGCCTCATCATCACTTTCTCCTTCATTGATGTTATCCTGTGGTGTGCAAGAAAAAATAAAGCATAATTGTCAACAAAATTCATCAAATATTACATCAAATAGTCAAAGGATAACTTTATTTCCTTTTTAGGTATGGAACACAAATAAACACTAAATTTAAGGCAAAGAACCTGCTCCTTAAATATTTTTGAAAGCTGCAAGGCTTTCTCTTTTTCATCATTTCTTCTCTTCAAGTTTCTGATCTTGTCTACCCATGCTAAAACCTAAGAAACACCTTTTGACTTTTTCTTCAATCTCTCTTGCCTCATTCTGCAACATAACGCAATTAGTGATACTGATCAAAGTGCAATTCCTTACCTCAAGACGAACAAAGTGCAATTTCTTACCTCAAGAACACATGAAGAAGCAACAATAAACACATCAGAAATTGACTACAGTCAACAACACCAAAATCCCCATAAATTGACTGGAAGGAGCAAAAAATCATGAAATTTAAAGGAAAAACCAACCTTACCTCAGATTAGCAGAGCATGTTTGGGTGTGCTTAAAAACAAAATGGTGCTTTCTATTAAAAGCATCAAGTATGCTGTCAACAAATAATTACAGTTAAAAGACAATACTTAGATATTTCATCAAGAATAAAGAATATAAATGTTCAATTACATATTTATATGCAAGGAATAAAGGCTAACAATTACACACGTGATACTATAGCAAGATTGAGTTATGAAATAAGACAAGAGTCTAATACAAATTGCACAATATACTTCAAATAAATATCAAAAGAAATAAGATGGCAGGTGATTGTTTGATTAAAATGGGAGTAAAGAAATGCATCAGTAGATACCTCTGTACAAAGAAGCAACTACTTTGAGAAAAAAGAAACAATATCATATCGGGGCAGCCGGGGGGGTTTGTACTGATTGGATAGATATGTCCAGCCCTCCTGATGCCAGTAAAATTATTTTTGAGACGAACCTGACCACCTAAAAGTTCAAATGAGAGAAGGAAGACTATTAATATTGTAGTCCTTTCATGAGTCTATCCTGACTAAATTTCAAGAAAAACTGGAGGAAATTTTATGGACTACAATCACTCTCCTAACCTCCCATGTTTCGGTATTCAAAGTGTCCAAGTCATGACAAACTGTATCAGAACCATTTTCATTTGCCAACAACAACAAAAAAAATGAGGAAAGAAAAGAAAGTACCTGTGCAGCTGGAACTTGGATTTGTCTGTGAAATCCCCAGAACATCCTCAATAGCTTTCGCATCCCCAGTGTCCCCCTCTATTTCCACCTCAAAATCGACAGGGCACCTCCACCATTAAACTCGGTGCAGTGAGTTCAAGAAAACCCAAATATGAGAAGGGAGAGTCATATACACCTTCAAACTATCAAACTAAATATTGTTGTTATGTATTCTGTTACCTTGGCCGTGGGGAAGTATAACTCTGGCATCCGAGGTATTATCCAGTGGGCAAGCAAGTAGTTCAGGTGATGTTCTCCGCAGGTGATGTCGACTCTGACCGGTCCTCCCCATTTCTACTCCTATTAAACTGCAATCCTGCACTGGAACAAAGACAGAGAAGAAGGAAATGGAACAACCATACACAAAAATAGGAAAACGAAGGTTTGAGGATTCTAACTGCATGTATAAATCTCAGGCTTTTTGCGATTTTTTTTGGGTTCTTCCGAAATTGAACGAAAATGGGAAGAAGAAAGACTGTGGAAAGACTGAAGAAAGAAGAGAAATGTTGCGTGTGTCAGATGGCAAAATTGAAAATGGGAGAGCAGAGGTTACCGTGTGTGAGAAGAGAAAGGAAAAGGCACAAAAGTAAATCACCTGGCTCAGCTTAATTAAAAATCTCTTCTTACATGGCTCGGCTTAAGCTCGGCTTAAATGGCTCGAAAATGGCTGGCTCACTTGGCCATTCGGCTTAGGAACAGTGGACTAAATCCTCCTCTTTTATATATTGTAAGGATATATATATATATATATATTTTTTTTTTTTTTATTTTTTTTGGTCAAATTGACAAATTAAGAAAGGGAAAAGTTGAACAAAATGACCTCATTTTTTCCCCCTTCCATAGCTATGTTGCAACCAAGCTGAAAGCTTACTCCGGACCTCTTAAAGGTCATAATCGGTAATGAGATGCCAAAATCAACGATTTTAAGATGATAAAAATAGTTGGACAAAAATTACATTAAGAATTTATTTGATCCTCATTATTTTGCAAAAAATGCATTTTAAAATAGTGATTTGTTGGAGAATGTGTGGTTAAAAAATAAGAAAAAGTTTTGAGTTTGCGTGTAATGTTATGTTATTAAAAAATGTGTGGTTAAAAAATAAGAAAAAGTTTTGAGTTTGCGTGTAATGTTATGTTATTAAAGATTGTGTTGTTGAAAATAAAAGAGAAATATATTTTGAAAATAATTGAGACCAAACAACGGCTAAGATACAATGTAACAACGATGAGTTTCTTGTCGACCAAGATCCATAACCTCTTTAAGTTAATAAGTTTCGTAATTTTTTTTTTTTTGTCCTGTTCAATAAATTATAAAATTATAAAAAAATATATTTGATTCAGTTAGTGTACCCACGGTTCCAGAACCAAGAGCTATTTGAGATACGATCAATTTTGAGTTCCGAAGGAACCATCGATTTCAATTAAAATGTCACCTCGAATTTCATTGTCAATTCTATCTTACTAAAAAGACTTTATTTCCTTTTGTTTGACATTCATTATTTTGAAAAAAAAAAGTTTTGAATGGAGATTTTTAGAAGAACGTGTTGTTGAAAAATAGAAAAAAAAATTGAATTTATATACAAAATATTTTATTTTGTGAATGTATTATTGAAAATGATTATGTAAAAAATAAAAAGAAATTTTCAAATAATAGTTTTCAAACAGGACTTTATTGTTATAATAAAACCAAAAGAGGAAAAAAAAAAGAAATACAGACAAAAATCAAAAGTAGAAGGAAAATGAAAATGAAAATGAAAAGCAAGGTATGTGGACCCCATAATAGAGAGAGAAATAAATAATTAAATTAGGAGCAGACATATAAATTGAGCAGAGAGAGAACTCACAGTTCGCGTTTCAACTTTGACCCATTTTATAATCGTAACAGGCAGAAAGAGAGAAGACATGGATGGTGGAGCTCAGCCGGCGGACACCGTGATGTCGGAGGCGGCGCAACCGCTTCCAGGCCAGCTACCTCAGCTGACTACGGAGCACATACCGGCGACACTGAGCCACGGCGGGCGATTTATCCAGTATAACATCTTTGGCAACATTTTCGAGGTCACTTCTAAATACAAACCCCCAATCATGCCCATCGGAAAAGGCGCATACGGCATCGTATGGTAATAAAATTTGAATTCAGAAACCTCCGTTTCATTATTAGTATAATAATTGAAATTATTTTTTTTTATTTTCTTTTTTAGCTCGGCTTTGAATTCAGAGACGAATGAGTATGTGGCAATAAAGAAGATAGCTAATGCTTTTGATAACAAGATCGACGCGAAGAGGACCCTGCGCGAGATCAAGCTTCTTCGCCACATGGATCATGAAAACGTTAGTGAGTCTAACATACATATAGATGTAATTGTGGGTGTATAAGAATTAATTTTTTGGAAAAACATTTTATATTACTAGTAAGACATTTTCTTGGAAAGATGTTATTAGGTAAAAAGCAAGATCCGGCTCTTATATTTTTTGGCACCATTTCGTGGGTTATTAGTTATGGTTATAAATTGATTGAAAAGAAACTGGAAAGTTATGATTTTTAGAGTTTATACGTACATATTACAATTGTTTGTGTGTTACTGTTCTTTACTGGTTTTGTTTTGATACAATTTGTTTGTTTCTACATTAAACGTGTTGCCATATTGGCATTTGTCACTACTTGAGTAAATGGTTTTTTTTAAGGAGGTGGTTGTATTGAGTGATTCTTGATTTTTGGAATTTGATGATAGCGAAAACTTTTGATCATAGCAGTGATACAAAAAGAAATCTTTGCATGCATGTCACAGTGGGTATGCTCGTGCACATGAGCATACCCATATTTTCTTCTAGGGAAACCTCCTCCGCACTCCTACCTCCTTTATCACTAAGTGAATATAGGTATTATCAATAACAATTTCACATGAATGGAACTGTAGTTGTTGGTGAAAGATCAAATTACTTTTTCTGGAAAAACTTTTGGTTAGTAGAAGTATTTTTTAGGAAGGAAAAAAAATTCAATTTTTAATGATTAAATGTAATACATAGATTTATGGGGTTTAACTAACTGTATTAATCTTCACAGGGTAGCATGCTGTTAAGACTCTGCTGGAACAATTAGACAAAAGGAACTTGTTATTGGAATTTGAAGGAAATTACAAATAAATTAGCAAGGAGAATTAACTACATTAATTTAATCAATGAACAATAAAAATTTGGAATTTGAACATTTGAGGTTTGAAGTTTCAATTCCCTATTATGTGCATTGTTAAACAAGTGAATAGATGTGACTTAAATCGTTTTTTCTTTTGAAACTGAGGTAATATTTGAATGTTTTGCCATAAATATGTTCATGGCATGAATGTTGTAGTGCTTTTTTTTTTTTGTACCAAAGTAGTAATACTTCATGGAACTTTTAATTTTGTAATTAATGATCAGGTATTTTATTTAATAGAGCGATAAAGGTATCTCTTTTTCCCTCTCTTCCCCCTATTTTAAGTTTTGGTGTTCTTAAAAAGCCTGAAATAGAAGATCAACTAGGTATTCTACAAGATAGGTCCTGCAAGGAGGAGATTCGAGAAGAGGCATGCCATTTTATATTTGATTTCATTTTTGCTTGAAACCTTAAGTCTAAATAAAGCATTTAGAAAGTTTGTTTACTCTCTGGGCAACAACATTTTGGAAATTCAACAGGAAGCTTCCTTTCCCAGAAAAGTATTCTTTTTTTTTTCCCTTGTGATATGGATTGGAGTTTGTTTTTTCATTTGGAGTTCTACTTTGAAGTATGCTTACAATAACAGATACAAGGGCCCACTAAGTAGATGCATTTATAGACTTGAAAGAGAAATTTATTTTTATGTTTTCTGGCTGACATAATTGGAATATAGTTTGCTTTGGTGACTGTTGGACATCCACCTAATCATTTGGAAAGATAGAATCATAGAGTGATATTATTGGGTATCAGCATTAAATTTGACACAGTTCAGATCAGTACAAGATTTTTATGTTTGTAATACACCTGTCATTGTATGGCTAGTTTGTCATTGAACAAAATTTCTGCTGATTATAATATGGCTATCCTGAGTGTCTGTAAAGCTTTGCAATGAATGAACTGCATTAGTTGTGTTGGTCGACCCTTTTTTGGCCCATATAATATATGTTGTAGAGAGGCAAAATAAGTTGGTTTTGTGTGTGTGTGTGTGTGTGTGTGGTGATATAATAAGAATTGGGGGAGTTTTGCTGTGATTTCTTAAATGGCTTGTGTAAATTAATTTTTAACATTTAGGAATAGAAAGTTATAACCTTTAGGGGGTGGGATGGTACTATCATAAATTATCAATTCTATGATAGTAAATGTTGCATGTGGTGAACTGCATGATTATCTCTCAGCGTGAATTTTTTTTAATAATATTATCTAGCCCCAGAGGTGTTAAGCTCCAATTTGTCAAATAGATTGTTGCTTAGCACTACTGGGGATAAATACCATTACCGTTATTTTTTGCCTCCGAATTTAATGTGAGACATAGAGTTATTATTAACCAGACTAGAAATCAAATGAAATTCTCTTTTAATTCATTATACCAGCCTTGTAAAAGTGAATATAAACATAGGTGGTTTCTTGGCTATGTTAATTCATGCCTCTTCTATTTGTTGCAGGTTGTGGCAATCAGAGATATAATACCTCCACCTCTGAGAGTCTCATTTAATGATGTTTATATTGCGTATGAACTTATGGACACTGATCTCCATCAGATCATTCGTTCTAATCAAGCACTATCAGAGGAGCATTGCCAGGTCCGATATTGTATATTATTTTCAGAAATATACGATAGTTTCTGCTTTCTGAATAGATTTGTCAGGGATTTTTTTTATTGGATTTCTTATTTTTTGTTTTGAATGAACTCAACATATAATCTTGAGATCTTAGTTTTCCTACATCACCCAGTGGAAACCATGACCCCGTTTATTTCTTTGGGTTCTTCATTTGTTTATAAATTTTTAACAAGTCTACTCATTTTTTATAGCATCCAGCAACATCTAGCTGGATGCTTTAAATAGGCTTGGCCTTGATGGAGGTGCAATTAAGAGGGTGCTTAATGATAAAGAAACACAATTGGTTTTAGTGAAAGATAATTTATGGCAATTACTGTCTGAGATAGGAGTAATAGGTGGGGTGGAATAAGAATAGCGGCTGAAGGACTAAATGGTATCTTGGTGATGTTTTACGTTAAAGGAACTCGTAGATTCAATTTAGGACATGACCAAGATCCATTTCTTTATTCTTGTCCCATAAATAGTGGGAACTTAACAATTTAGTACAAGACCGAGATGTGTTTCTCTGAGAGGTATAACCTGCTATGTCTTGGGGACATTTCCGGAGGAGAAATTCGGTAGCTTAACATTTTCAGAAAGAATAATGTTTATGAAGGTGAGGACAAGGAATCAATTGTAATGACATATATTTTCACCTAAAGAAGTTCAGCATATGGGCATTTGATGAAGTTTATTAAAGATAGATATTTCAACTACAACTATTGAGGTTTGGAAGATAAGAACTTTAAAAGGAGAGAACCGAAGCACAAGGAGACAGAAATGAGAAAACTAAGCATTCAAAGCTAGGGTGGAACGTTTACTTGTGAAAGCCAAGACAACCCGGGATGACTTGCAATACTACATGCAATTATGACTTAATTATTGAAATCCAACATGAGTTAAATTTGGTACAATATTTATTGAGCACAATTAGTTGTTGAGTGCTCGGTGCATATGAAGGAATAAAATAAGTTAAATGGGTAGCTATTTGTTTTATTTTATTTTTGCAGTGACCAAAAGTACTTCAAAATCGAGAACATTTTACTTCGATGATTTTGAGAATTTAGCTTCCAAAAGACCAAATATGCAATTCTACTAGCTTTACTTCTATACATCGATGTTTGAATGGGAAAACCAAAACAAGAATGAAACCATCGCAGCTAAGATTCATGTGGACATCTACCTTTAATATGTGCATAATATATGTAATGTAATCCCCTGCTCATTGAGCGGTTGAATATTGATTGTTGATTTTGCCTCTTGAATATGCTGAGTTGCTTTCAAATTCACATGTTTTATATGCAAGTCAAACTTTTTGTTGACATGTTGTCAACTTATTGTTCTCATTGCTTGATCCAAAGTTGTACATGATGAAACAGAGGTTATGGTGCTCAAGTAGATTGTCATTTTGTCCCGTGTTAGTTTTTTAAAACTGAAATGGACAGTGTTAGCCCTTCATCGTTATTTTACTGATGCTGTACTGTCAGTACTAATATCATTCGGGAAAATTCACCTTTCATGTTTTCGGTGCAGTATTTCTTGTATCAAATACTCCGCGGGTTGAAGTACATACATTCAGCCAATGTTCTGCATAGGGACTTGAAGCCAAGCAATCTACTTCTGAATGCAAATTGTGACCTAAAGATATGTGATTTTGGATTAGCTCGGGTCACATCTGAAACCGATTTTATGACAGAATATGTTGTTACAAGGTGGTACCGGGCACCAGAGCTGTTGTTAAATTCATCTGATTATACTACAGCTATTGATGTTTGGTCAGTGGGTTGTATTTTCATGGAGCTGATGGACCGGAAGCCATTATTTCCAGGTAGAGATCATGCGCACCAGTTGCGTCTACTTATGGAGGTATGTTTCTTGTGCATTAATCGAGACTCCATGGATGTATCTAGGGCTGGGCAAAATGTCCGAACCGAACCGAATCGAATTGAGCGGATTTTTTTAAATGAAATACCCGAACAGGTATCCGAATTGAGAACCGAATGGTTTGGTTCGGTTCTCGGTCCTACACCCAGAACCGAAGAACCAAATAAGAACCGAATTTTTTTTTTTATATTGGATAAATCAATTTCTTTTATTTTTTCTAAATAAATTAATAATTTTTTTCTTATTAAATCTTATTAGTTGAACAATTTAGAGTTTATTTATGTTTGTTAGTTGTGTTTTTTTCAATTTTTTCTTGTATANTTAATATTAGTATCTACTTTCAGGTGTATTTATGTAGTATTATTTTAAAAGTTAAAAAATTTAATTATAGTACGAAATCGAAGGGAACAGAACCGAACCCGAACGGTTCCAAAATTATATTTGGAACCGACGGTTTCATTTACTAAATACCCGAAAATTTTTGGAACCGAAAAAAACCGAACCGAACCAACCGGCGTCCACCCCTAGATGTATCTTTATACCATATTTTTTTTCTAATCGTTCTTGATTATGGAGTCTCTGATGGAACAATGACTGCTCTACAGTAAATTTGGATTTTTTTGAATGTGCTTTTACCATCCTTAAATATATAAAGAGGCATCATCTCGAACAATTTATTAGTACAGTGTGCCAATACATTTTAGTCATGTTAATGTATTAGTACTATGCTTTAGCTTGACTAAAAAGTTTGCTGTCGTTGCAGCTGATTGGCACCCCGTCAGAGGCTGAGTTGGGATTTTTGAATGAAAATGCTAAAAGATACATCCGGCAACTTACTCCTCATCGCCGACAATCATTTACTGAAAAGTTTCCGCTCGTGCAGCCTCTTGCTATTGATCTCATTGAAAAGATGTTGACATTTGATCCTAGACAAAGGATTACAGGTGAGGATTTCCATTAATTGTATTCATCGTTATCTACATGATTAGCACTTGGATTTGCGTGTGAGCAAACTTCTCTTTAGTTTCTTTTATACAAGAAATATTAATTTGCTGCATGATGGATTAAGACTCCATTGTAATTATTTTATTATTATCTATTGGTTTCAGTCGAAGATGCACTGGCACATCCCTACTTGAACTCACTCCACGACTTAAGCGATGAGCCTATCTGCATGATGCCTTTTAGCTTCGACTTTGAGCAGCATGCCCTGACCGAAGAACAGATGAAGGAGCTGATTTACCGGGAATCTGTTGCATTCAATCCTGAGTATCATCACATGTGATGAATATGTTGGCTATAGAATCGCCGAGAATTTTTTTTATGTGATTTGATTCCTACACCAAATCATGTATATATGATCAATATAACCTAGACGGTTTGATTTTAAACATTTGAATGCTGCCATGGATTGGCCATGGATATATGACATTTCTGAATTTAGACAAGCCGTGCGGGGCCCATGTTTTGGGTGGACGATAGTGTTTGGTTTATGTAGAAAACTGATGTTTTTTTGTGGGATGCCATGGCGACTCATTTGCAATGCCAAAATTCAATTGTTCGTTTGAATTTTGGATTAGATCGATAAAAAAATTATCGAGACATTTTGAAAGGTAGTGGTGTCAAAATAGGTCAGATGACCCAGGCTTGGGATGGCATCTCGTTAAAAACTTTGACTCAAACTAGCTCGGCGCAATTTGTGAAGGGAAGGGTGAGAAGGAACCGAAGACTTTGCGCCAAAAAGCTAAGATAGGGCGGTCGTTCGGTTGCCTATGTTACAATCGACTTGAATTAGACTTGGTTATAGGATGACCAATCAAATTCGATCCATCTTGACATTTCTATTTAATGGTCAAGTTTGTTAAGATGACTAATTGAGGCTGTTTTATGTTAATATATTTTTATTAACTTATATGAGATTTATCTTTTAACGCGATAATTGGAACAAATATACAAAAGATGGGTTGTGAAACATGGGCTTTTCCAACGGGTACATTAACAGAGTCATAATTGGGCAACTTACAAAAATACCCTTAAAATTAAACATCTTTTGAAAAATCATGTGAAAAGTATTTTGGAAGTAAAAAATACTATGTAAAATTAAGTGTTACTTTTCAAAGTTAAGTGTGACTTACAACTTTTATTAAAAAGTGAGATAAATTTCAAGAAAGTGATAGAAAAAGGTGAAACATTAAAAAAAGTGACAATTGAAAAAAGTGACAGAATATTTTAAAAAATGACACGCACAAAAAAGTGATAAAATTAAAAAAAAGTGACAAACATTAAAAAAAATGATAAAACACCAATCAATAACGTATATTTGTCACTCAAAAAGTGACATAAATTTTAAAAAAGTAACAAACAATAAAAAAGTGTCAAAAAAATTACACTATTAAAAAAAGTGACATACTCTTAAAAAAGCGACAAAATTGCAATAAAAACCTACATTTGTCACTCAAAAAAGTGACAAAAATTTTAAAAGAGTATAACAAACAATAAAGAAGTAACAAAATT